TTGTTCCCTCATTGAATCAAAACGCAAAGCCCTAAATCACCACCACAGTCTACGAATAGATCAACCACAAATCACAAATCAGCACCTGCAAAAAACCAAAAATTGCAATTCGCTACCACGAGCAACATTGCGCCACCCAAACTGTGAAAACACAGTTCCGTCTTGAAGAAAAGAGGTTGAAAGGGTTTTCTTTTTCTTTTTTAAGGGTTTTTGCGACTCACCATTTCTTGCTTCACTCAAAGTTTTTCATGGTTCTACTAACGAGTTTCATGACTTACCTTGAAATGGTGTCGTTGAAGTTGGAGGTGGATGAACCGCTCCAAGAAGAGCATGCTCCTCTCAATAATTGTTTCAAACCTTCATCCGCTTCACAAAAGATTTCTTATCTTTTTCAATATCATTGTCCTTTTTCTAAGATAGATAGATAAGCCTATGCTAGGGGTCTAACAGTTTTAATCTTTGAATGAGCATTGACAATAATATAAACCTGAGATCATAGAAGAACATGCATTTTCATATCACAAAGAATGTTTTTAAAAAACTTGTATTATATTGTCATGTTAAATAAGTATTTAAGAATGCAATCTATCAAACATATTAGTCCAAAATTCAAAAGTCACTGGAATGAAATGATCAAGTTTAAATACTTAGATGAAACAATTCAAGATTTTAAGGATTTGTTTGTTTGTGTTATTTGTACCCATTTTTTGTAAGTTTCGTGCTTAATATATGCTCACTTTGATAACTTCCTTTTCTCCTTGTGCATGTTTAGCAATGGCATGCTTCAAATAGTACAGCTTCCAGTTCTCCTCCACATTACAATATACTTGATGAGCCTAGCCCTCTGGGTTTACGTCTTAGGAAGAGCCCTTCGCTATTACATTTGATACAAAAGAAGCTTTCTCAAGGGACTACTTTTATTGCATATACACAAAATGAAAATTTAAGCTCTAGTTTGAAAAGGGAAAGTCCGGCTGTGATTGCAATTACCTTTATTTTAAGTCTATACCAAGGGACTATCTATTTCTTGTTCAAGTCTATACCAAACATCTGATGTGACATTGGTTTCACTGATAAAAAGAATTGTATTGAATTTTGAATAGTTGGGATGGATCTTGAAGTTGATAACATAATGGGATACTAAGCAATTACCTTTATTGTTATGGTAATATGGTAGATAACAGTTTTGTTGGGGAGTTTGTGCTCCAAGTTGTTCCTGCAAATGTCAATCATATTCTTGATCTTAGAAATGCATGTGTGTATTGTACATATAATTTAACACAACTGATATAATTAAATTTATTTACAGTATTTATATCAATGTTTCATTTGTTGAATATATATATATATATATATATATATATATATATATATATATATAGCTATGAAAATATCATTGATGTGATGATAAAAAGGTTATTTATCATTATGTGATATAGCAAAATATAATTGCATTACCAATGTCAAAATAATGCAGATTGGCACACGTTTAACGCCTGTTAATATATCAATCCTTCATAGTTTAGATTGTCACTAATTTGTTTAATGTATATTGTTAGACTTATGTAATCAATGTATGGAAATACTTGTCCAATGTGTATTGTAAGACTTATAATTAGAAAATGGATAAAATTATCTAATGTGTATTAATAGACTCGTCTAATAATGTTTATGAACAAACTCGTCTAATATATATTGATAGACTTATCTAACCAATGTATGAACAAAATCGTTTAATGTGTTTTACAATACATGTGTAATGTATTCTTAGGTCGTCTAATCAATGTATGGAATGACTAAACTAATTAGTATATGGATAGATTCGTCTAATGGGTATTACTAAATTCATCTAATATTTTTTATTATACTCGTGTAATTAGTGTATGAAGAGATTCATCAAATGTGTATTAATAGTCATTTAATATGTATATGGACATACTTGTCTAATATATATTGTTAGACTCGTCTAATCTATATATGAATGACTTACTTAATTTGTATTGCTAGATTTGTATAGGTAGATTTGTCTAATCAATGTATTGACAAACTCATTTAACTTTTTTTGCTATACTCGTTTAATCAATGTGTTCTTAAACACATTTAATCAATATATGAGTGAATCATATAGTATTTTTTTATACTCATCTAATCAGCTGATTCGTCTATGCATATTACTAGACTCGTGTAATTTTTTTGATATACACGTCTAATCAATGTATGGAAAGACTCGTCTAATAAGTATTGCAAGACTCTTCTAATAAATGCATCGTTAAACTCGCCTAATATGTATTGTTAGACTCATCTAATTAATATATGAACACATTTGTATAATGTGTATTGTTTGACTTGTCTAATGTGTGTTTCAAGACTGTGTTTAATTAATAAGTAGATAAACTCATCTAATGTGTATTAATAGACTCATCTAATTTATGTATGGATAAACTTGTCTAACATATATTGTAAGACTCGTCTAATCAATGTATATATAAACTCCTCTAGTGTTTATTATTAAATTCGTTTAATCAGTATATGAAAAAAGTCGTGTTCGAACTTATCTAATGTTTATTGTAAAACTTGTTTTAACTAGTGAATAGACACACTCATTTGTGTTAATAAACTCGTTTATGATCAAACTTATCAATGTATATTGTTAGACTTATTTCATTAATGCATGAATAGATTGGTAAGAAGTGTTTGTTGTTAGACTCATTTAAAATAAACTAATGAGTGCAATATTTTAATTTATTTTGTTAAAATATAATTATTTCAAATCTTTTACGAAATTTTATGTACAGATGATTAGTTATGATTGTTTATTGAATAATATTGTTTCAATAAATACTAAAAATAAGAAGAATATTTAATAATAAGAATATTTACATTATAATTTAATATAAAAATTATAAACGTAATTTGTATTCACAATTTTTTAAGACAAAATTATTAAATGATGATTTTTTTTATATGACATCGTAAATAATTTGTATTATTAATAAATATATATTACTTTTTGAAGTTATATTTTTTTAAGAAGTAAAAGTAAAATATATTTTCCAAAATTTATTAATAATTAGAAATCATAAAAGTGAGCAAATATTATTTATAATGTGGTAGATATTAAATGAAAGTTAAAATGTATGTCCATTCTTACCAATATCATACTAAGAGCAATACAAATAAATGGGTAAGAGTAAATTAACCCTTTAGGGACAGCAATATAAATACATTAGATGTATTTTAAAACAAATAGTTTTTTATATTTTATTTTTGGTTTCAATCTCTTACATTTTGAAGTTGTTGAAAATAGTAAAAAATAAATCAAATAACATAATACAAAATTTATAATATTTAAGAAGTGTGATGTTTTTTTTTTACTAAAATATATATTTTAAACCTTTAAAATGAATTATTAAATACAATAATTTAATTTATTCTATTACAAAGATAATTAATTAAAATCTTATGCAAAGTTCTGTGTACATATAATTAATTATAAATTTTTATTAATTAATATCACTTAAATTGATATTAAAAGTAGGAAGAATATTCAATAATAACAATGTTTATGTTATAATTTAATATAAAAATAATACTGTAATATTTTATTTATAACTTTTTACGACAAAATTATTACATAACAGTGTTTTTTATATAACAATGTAAATAAAATATTATCGACAAACACATATTAGTTTTTGAAATAATATTATTTTAAAAAAGAAATATATATATATATATATATATATATATATATATATATATATATATATATGACAGTGTTTTTTATCTATTAAATTATTATTTTAAGATATAGAATAATAATCTATTAGATTAATAAATTATAGAATTGAAATATGTTATAGAATAGAGTAATATATTTATTTTTTTATTTATTTTGCTAAAAATGTTATAGTTTCTTTTCTTTTTTTGTTCAGGATTAGATTCATTTCTTGAGTATATTTATACAGGAATTGTAAATCACATACATTAAAACATTATTTTATGCCGATAATAGGAATAAGGTTATGTCAGGAACTTCTATATTATTAGGTATTAGAAATCATTCTAATATAGTAAGTTGTGGTTGATTTCCATCCGTGGTCTTTTTCTTCAACAACATAACTTCTACTTGATGGAAAAACAAACATGAAATTATTGATAGATTATCTGGTATGATTAAACGTTTTCTATATTTTTTTAATTACAAATATGTTATCTTATTTCCTATTTACATAATGTACCAAATTCAAGAAGTTATTTGGAAACAAGTTAATCAATAGAAGAAAAGTTTCGATTTCAAGTTTGTCAAATGACATCGTTAAGATCAACCACTATAGATACGAGACATTGTCTGCTTTATAAATTATAGCTTTGTTAAAGTTTTATCCTTAACACTTTGTTTACTTGAATGAATTTGGAAAAGAATGATTAAATAGATTTGAGAGGATTTGAAAGTAAATTTTTATTATTTATTTGAGTGGATTTTGAAGTGAGAGTGGATTTGAAAGTAAATTTTTTTAATCTGTCACATCAATCAAATCTTATACTAATTCTCACAAACTTTACTTTCAAATTCACTCTCCCTTACCTCCAAATCTTCTCAAATAAACAACAAAAAAATTTACCTTCAAATACATTCAATCACTCTACCCCAAATCCATTCAAATGAACAAAACTTAAAAGATGTCTTGAAAGGTGGAAGAAGTACTCTATTATTAAGTAATATAAGACTATTAGATGAAGTAGAAACAGAAGCCTCTATATGAGAAATGACTAATCATTCTTAGTGGAGGGTTTGTTCCACTATTGGTCCCAAGGGGAGGGCCATTTTTCCTATTCCAAATTTGTCGAATTACACTATGAGGGTCAATCTCATATCTCTGATGTATTATCAGTTTTGGAGATTGAAACTCTTTTGTTCTTAAAAGACTCTCCGAGAATAGAAGAAATATTTAAACTGAGTTTAACCTCGAATACTACAAAAATAAGATTATTGGGAATGGTAGAAATAAGAAACATACGCATTTCAAATGCATAAATAATCAGGTTGTCTTATTGATTATATTCTTTAGACAAAGATTTATCAATGAATCAAAATTTCCAGAAACTTGAGAACACATGACTTGTATCAAAATTCTTGGGGAAGAAATATCATTCATGGCTTTCAAAATAACTTGTGGGTAATCTAAGTTCAGAAAGACCTTCTAATGAAAGCTCAAGTTGGAGGTTGCCAAGTTCCTGGTCTAAAGGATGCACCAGATCCAGTTGCCTCTGAAGATCTGGAAAGAATTTTTATTTTAAAAGATAAATATCAGGGTTAAATCTAGGGAAATGATATCTCTGATAAAACCATTAAACAATTTTGGAACAATTGTTTCATTAACTAAAATTAAGATTAATGGAGGCTTTGATCAATCATGATGTTTATTGACTGAGAATGTACACATTTGGACTTACTGGTACTCGTCTTTTGTTTTCTCTGCTAAACTCTCTCGAGGATTCCTGCAGAAAGATCACAAGATTACTGACCAATTATGCTTAAACTAGTGTTTTACCCAAACAATTTGATTTCACAGCAACTAGAAGACACTAACAGCAATATCCCATGGTTAAAGAACATTTAAAAAGCATGAGAAGATAACATATATGAACTTCAAGACCATGCCACTGAAGATCAAAATCATTCAGTCATAGAATGTCATGTCCAGAGAACACAGTCAAAAATGATTTTTTTTTTTTTTTTTTGTGTATCCTTAAGAGTTCTTTCATACATAGCCACCGGATCTAGTCTCTAATTAAATTTACTTATAAAGGGTATGCTTGGGAGTTTGTTAATCATGGTGGATAATGGCCTTGAGAATTTCGGTTTTACAAAGTCCAATAGCAATACACAATTCATATATCCGACTTCACCAAGTGGCTAGTGAAATAAGGGTACCAAAATGATGGAACAGAAACAAAGAGAAGACAGCCAAACAACTTTCTGGCAATATTTTAATGATAAGAATAAAAAAGATGGAAACAAAATTACTAACAAATTTTGGTAACTGAATCAGACATAATAAAAGAATGAAATTTTTATGCTGGAAAAGAACTGCAACATAGCAAAGACCATGCATTTTACACAATAAATTTAGGTAAAAAAACTCAGTTTCGGAAGACTCACCTTAAGCCACCGGTAGTGCTAGGTGATTCTTCAACGTCATTACCTAGAGTGGAGAAAATATGTCAAAAACTATATTCAAAGGATAGGTAATATGTAGATGTATAACAAGAATTCCCTCTTTCTGGAAGACATTGTCTCTTCTTTCATAAGGACTGGGACAAAAATCTCAGAATGCTGTTTATGAAGAAGCTAAAGTAAACAACATAATTATTTGCATGGACTAACAAGAATTATATTTGGTTTATTTTGCTTTGAGGGATAGGGGAAGATTTTAAGATCAATCTGCTTATATGCTTCAATTCAGTTTATCATAATAAGTTTTCTTTCAAAAAGAACTCAATATTTATGTCAAAAAGAAAACGATAGTGAGATGACCTTCTGAAGGAACTGGAAATTGTTGAATAAAACTTTTCAAATCTGGACCACTGGCTTTACCTGCATAGAAATAGTAAATTAATCAATAACTTCCAATGAATAAAAAAGAATACTGCTATATCAATAAAATTTTAAGCATCTGACCAGTGCTGATACGTTTGCCTTTACTTCCTTCTTTGGCTATCCTTTCTTGCTCCTCTTTCTTGAGAACTTTGTGAAAAGAAAAGAGTTTGTGTTAGGTATTTGGATAAAACTAAACGTGGCCAAGAATGTTCTTTCATTATTTTTAGAACTATCACATGAAATGCTAAGGACGGAGAGGAATATAACTAAATCAGAGTTAGGTAACCAATTCACACAATTAGTTTGTTAAGGTTGAAGTATAATTGGTACATACGAGCAACATTCTGTCTAACACGTTCACGTCTTGCTTCCAATTCCATCATTTCCTGAAGGTGAAAGTATTGTCAAGTAAAATAGTGCAATACCATATTTTTCAAAGTGCCTATTTACAAAACAAATCACTTCCCCGGAAGACATCCATAAAACATTACAACTTACAGGGTTAGCTTAATAGTTTGTCATCCCATTGCAAATAAGTTTTGCATATAAGTATTGGTGCAAAAGTAATAAACTAAGTAACTAAATTAACACAGATCACCACATAGCTCGATTTAATTCCCCAAACCAACAAAATGAAAGAGAAACCAAAATCGAGAAAAGTGGGAAAAATATGAGAGAATGCTAAGACAGTTCTG